TTTCTATAGGTCTTACAGTATTTCCCGTGGAGACCAACCGCATGGATATGTAATGTGGCTCTCTCACATTAAAACAGCCTTAAATATTGTCTGATATCATTCGTGGTTGTGAGATATTCCTCCTTAAGGTAGGTCATTTTAGATTCTTGGAAGTTATCCAGGTGGATCGAGAGTTTTTCGCGCTGAAGTTTTAGATTCATTTGCATAGATCCAGACATCTACTTAAAAATCTTCCCCGTTATGTCTCTGTGTCCTATACGCGCCTAATGGAGTACTCGGTTTAACTTTATGTTTACGGATTTGGTGTTCTTTTATGAGGGCACAGAGTGGTCTGCCCGTTTCGCCGATGTATTCGTCCCCGCACACGTTAGAATAGATCAGTTAAACCGTACTCGAACTTATGCAGTCACCGTCTCTACAACTAGGAAAAATTATGCAGTTTTGCGTTTTGCATAGCCGGTAATATGAACAGTTACGAAGTTGCTGGAGGCTCGGTGTGCTCGGTGGTATGTCAATCAGTGTTGCCGAATTCTCTAAGCAGGCCCTTTTTACGCAACGTTCTATTGGTGAACTTATTTCGTTAGAAATGAAGGGCAGGATAAATGGGACCCTATCATCGTTAGAATTACCGTTTGGGAGCGTGGTTTTTCCTCTCATCTCGAGAACCTGCAACGTCGTAGCCATTTGAAGTGGCTATTTTGTGCTCCAGTTTCAGGGATTCCTTCTTTTGCTGTCTTTGTGTGAACGCATGGTAGCTGTTTGAAACATGTTCCTCAAGCTTTCTTTTTGTGGTAAAGATTGAATAGCGGAGAAGATTTTGAACTGGGGGGGGGAGCAGGTGTAAAACTCTCGAAGCATTCTGGAGAATTTCCAAGAATCCAAAAGTAAACCGCGGAGAGGAATTATCACGCATAATCTCGCCCGGTATTTAAGTGCAATATTTTAGTGCAAGGGAGGCACATTATACATCCATGCGAACTCTGCACGAATGGGCTCCATGTGAAGTATTCAGTGAGTGGATGAAGAATCTGTTTTGTTTTCAATGTGATTAGAATCAAGGTTTCGTGATTTTTCTGTTGGGGTTACGGAGGTGTTTGGCCTATTAGGTTGCGGTAAACTTGACCTTCTCAAGCTCTGGAGGAGGCGAAATCCGCCGAAACGCCAGCTTTTTGTGAACAAAGAATATAACAACAAGTTGTCTGCTCATCAAGAGAACGATGAATTACTAGATTATAGTTCCCAAGATCGACTTTCTCTTAACCTCGGCATTGGAATATGAATGTGTCGTTTTCTTGCTCAGCAATCGCGAGGTTTTTAAACAGCATACATTTACTTCCATAAAAACACAATACAATACAACGCTAGCTGACGTTTCGGCAGTATCGCCTTCTTCAGAGCCGCTTTTTCGTGACTTCCAATGAGGAAGTTTAGAACAGCTGATTATAGTCGCATGTGGTTGACCTAGATGACCTTACTTGACCTTACTAGATTATCTTCTTCGTCGATTAAGTGCAATAACACGGAGTATTCACATATTATGAAGAACCAGGTGTCCGTCCAAGAAAAGGTGAATTTGGTATTTTCGATTTTGAGAGTAAAATCTGGCATGGGGTCTGAGTTTTGCAAATATTTCAGCAACATTGTGGTTGTATTCCACATAACACTCTGCCATGAAAATAATAGGTAATAAATAAGAACTTAAATAATATGGTCACTTTTTATTTACTGCAATTCTTTTTTCCATGACGGGGTATCATGTGAAGTGTAACCACAACGATGATGAGGTGTTCGCAAAAATTCGTACAGCAGGTATCTGCAGATCGAAGCCGTTCCTTCCTTTTCCGGGAGCGAACTTGTTTACCACTACACCATACGGGTTCTTCGTTTTGCCTTTCTTTCAACCATGTTTTGGCCTATGAATGCTATCAGCAATCACCCGTCAACGGGATTGATCTGGAGAGCACAAATCGCATCAAACCCAGTTGGGTTGAAGCTGTAGTATGAATCACAATCTAGTCACTTTTTATTTACTATATAATCCTTTTTCCATCGAAAAGTGTGTCTATGTTTGTGCACCGCAAACATTGCGGTCCGGAGTTATCCAAATATCTCAGCATGATTATAGTTATAAACACTCAAGTATTTTAAGACTTTTGCGTGAAGTTCCTACCACCACATGTAATGTGAAGGATTTTACGAGTTGGTTCTTGTTGATCTAGCGCAGTGCTTAGTGATGCCGTCGATCAGGAAGCAAAGACACTAGTTTGACACTCTCTCCTTCCCACTCCTCCAGTCCACGAAGGAACGCCTTAATCCAACTATCTCCAAGATTGCAAAGAGAATTGGCTCGAGCGCCATTATGCGACATTCATAAAGAAGAAGAGGATGTCGTCAAGAAACAGCCGGAACAACGTGTGAAATGTTCGAAGACCAATATGGACAATGAACGCTGGGAAAACGAATCGAATGCAAAAAAAACGATTTTGCTATTTGTCTTAAATACTCATCACGATGTGTTATGCAAGTAATCTGGGTAAATAGTAGCTGAACTCATCCAGTATCCGTCACTAATGTCTAATAGACATTACGAAGTGGCTGGTATCTTAATGCATCCAGTGGTGCGGAGCCAATAAATCCTCCATTTTTCTCTGTCGCGCCTTAGAGGGGCCCAGTAGGTTCTGCTCCCTCTAAGACCTCGTTATGCATTATCACTTTCTTCTACGCTTTTCGTGAAGAACTCTGACCCGTCGGTGGTTTTTCTACAGTACGTTTGACATCTCGAGGAATCCAGCCATTAATGGCTCTTGTCCATCGGTTCTCGTTAATAGGCATTACGTGTCTAGCCCACCTTATCTTCGACAGTTTGGCGTATGGTATGGCATCATTGATTTTTGATCGTTGATATGGCTCGGAGCATCGGATCCCTTTCGTCACTTGTGTGGAACAGGATGCTCCGAACATCGTCCTTCTGACTGCGCGTTTAATAACGCTGAGCCATCTTTCATCCTGATTACGCATCGACCAGATTTCTGACGCATGCGTTAAGGCACGAAGAACCGCGGAGTCCGAAAGGTGGGCACGGAATAGGGTGTTCTTTGTTTTCTTCACTACATCCTCGATGCTCTTTAAAGCTCCCCAAATCGCTCGATTAGTTCCGCTCAACTCTGGAGCTAAGTCGTTCATCATTTTGATTTCCCGACCTAGGTAGACGTAAATAGAGCATTCGGAGATATTCATTCCGTTGGGCGTGGATGGGGAATACTACCAATCCGTTCCTCATAAACATCGCCCTTGTGAGATTTAGTCGAAAACCAATCCTTCAACAGCATTATCAAAGTCAACAAGCATTTGTTCTGCCTAGCCAATGTTTGGTGCTACAAGAACGATGTTATCAGGAAGCCGAAGAATGGCGTAATTGCCGACCATCAATTTTCACTTCCATGTTGTCCCATTCCATTTCCATACAACGTTTTCAAGGTTGGGGACAAATAATTTTATCGAGTTCATATCCCCTTGATTAACCCTTCTTTTGACGTCGGGGTTATTTCTTCTCCGATGTCGTAATCGGTTTTGAATGGGCGACCTCTTCTTGTCTCGTTCAGTCCCGACGTCGTACATTGTGCTTATTGCCAGCATCATCAAGTCCATTGTCGAGGGCACAGGTGTAACTGTGTGTGCATTGTAGGTACACATCAGCTCGTGGTTCATTGCGATTTAACCACTCGTCTCACCCAACGCTGCCGAGCCGGGGACTCTTTCGGAGACAAGGGGATGAGCCCCATTTATTTTGATTACTTCCTTGGATACTTAAATGGCTCGTACTCACTAGTTGTGCAGGCCCAGATTTCTATTTTTCGAAGTTCTGTTGGTCTATCCATTGTGTTTCTCTGGAGATCCGAGATCAGCCAGGCCAATGTCTGCTCCAGGTCGTCGCCATTACTGGCGGTCGCTTCCCTTGTGGATCAGAGGGAGATTTGTCACCATGCAAATAGTTTGATACTGAGATAGTAGTGGATTCTGGTATTGGTTTAGTCTTAGCTGGGCTTCTTAATGGAAACGCCGGACTCCTCGGGCCCTGCCGGAGGAAGAATTCCCCTCCACCCCTGTAAATCGCAGTCCGGCACCGAGGAACACCTCCCAGCCATGATGAGGCGGTAAACCATTGGGAGGATTTATTTTACTAAGTTTAACTTTTTGATGCCCACGTATAGCTTTCTGAGCTGCGAATGTGAGAACTCAGTATAGGCGCGCGTAGCTTGCCGGTCTCCTCCAGAATAGACAAGGGACTTATTTGTTGGAGACGGCTTCTAACCGCCTTCCCTCTACTTCTTATTACTTGATTGCGTGCTTTTGACCGAATGGACTTGTAGAATACAATCCACCTTGACGAGAACACACCCACGCACGCATGTATGAATGCGTTATCGTGGATATGGAAGGTGTGTTTACCAAATCCGCGCAGCAGAAACAGGGTGTTCATCACCTGAATCCGCCTACCTCAGAAAAGCAAACGCTGCTTTTGGTTTGCAATTAAGCTCCTATGCGCCATCTGATGAGGCACCACATTACCTCGCGAGTAATCGACATGAGATCTCTCCATGAGGGAGATTTGCACCCATTAAAAATTGCTTTCCGTTGCATAATTGAATCGTTTCCTCTTTTGCTATGTACCCACCAAATGCTCTCGTATACATGTTTTTATTTCGTTTTCTATGACTGAAGAGGGAAAAAGTCCATCCTGCAGCGAAAGGGGATTAAAATATCCCCTCGTAAAGCTTTCAAAGCATTCTTAATTAACAGCTAAATTTCTGAAATAATTCTAGCAGTGGATTAAGACTATCGGATATTTCTGATTTTTCAGTATTCTGGAATTACTTGGTTACTTGGATGGTACGTCGTCACTGGTTGTGTGGGCCACTGCATAGTATCCATTTTCCGAAGAGTTGCTGGTTTAGTCATTGTGGTTTCCTAGAATTTCGAGGTAACACTACCAGAAGCCTTCCATGGGGGTCTCCACCACAGGCAGTCGCTCCCTTCTGGATCAGAACGGGGTTTGCGCCACCATGCCACAAGTTGATACCAGGGTGGCGGTGATTCCTGGTATTGGTTTACTCTTAACTGTGCTTCCGGATGGAAAAGTGAAACTCATTCCCCACTTAAAAGATCTTGCTGTGGAAATGAATACCCTGCTGTGCAACGCAGCACGACCCCCATGAACACCTTCCAGCCACTACAGGGCTGTAAAGCGTTAAGGGCGTTCTCGATTTTATGGTGTAAAATGCCACGATGCTAGTCAAGATTAGACCGGCAATATCATGTTTTTTGCTACTTATAGATCTTATTAACACCTTCTCGAACCTTAGCATTCTGCATTCCGTTGGATAACAAGGGACCTGAACTCAATGAAATCAGGAAAACAACGAAGTCTAAATTATTTTAAAAACCTATTTATATCAAACCTTGGTAAGAATAATCAATATTTTCCTACGTTTTCGGGCTAACACGATGTTGAGGTAAAGGGTTTTCGATTAATTCATGTACAAATTTAGGCTTTTTCCCTCAAGGTTTAGATTAATTCATATTTCACGGATCATTTTTACAGGGCGTGGAACAGTGGTTGCCGACCCCTCGTGAGAAGGAGCTGCTGCGTCGAACATGGAGCGATGAATTTAAATTTCTCTATGAACTTGGCTCTTCTATCTATGTATACATTTTCGAGCATAATCCGCACTGTAAGCAGCTATTTCCTTCAATCGCCAGTTACGGTGACGATTATAAGGATTCGCGCGAGTTCCGAATTCAAGCTCTGAGATTTGTGCAGGTATTTTTATATAGTTTTTTGCTAACTTTTATTTTACACATAGGAGGCGATCGTTCCTTCACCAGGCTCACCAAACTTGTCACCCCTCCAGAATCGGGAAATTCACACTGGATTCGTCTGTGCTCAGTTCAGTTCACGTGAGAACGCTCTAGTACGGCTATCCCAGAACTCGACGGAGAAGTAACACCAGCATTCAATGCCATTTACGACGAAGACAGAAGTTCCCAGGATCGACTTTCTCTTAACCTCGGCATTGGAATATGAATGTGTCGTTTTCTTGTTCAGCAATCGCGAGGT